CCAACCCGCACTTGGCCAGCGTGGTGGACTATGGCCTGATCCCCCTCGTATTGAAGGGAGGCCCGTGCCCAGCAGTGGGACATTAAAAAAGGGCTGAATACATTCTGCCGACACAAGTGTTATCATAATTTAACTTAAGTGATAGCACTAAATTCGTTACTTAAATGAGAAAAAATCAATGGCGAAAAATGTCATTTTAAAAATATCAGAATATCAAATATTCTGAAAAAATATTATACTTATTTGATAAAATTTCATAATAAATTAATATATGTATTAATATTTAATAATTAATTTGGCATTTTTAAGTGCATTTGCAATATGCTAAGAAATAGGCCGAACTCATAATAAAATTATGTAGAGATGATAGAAATCGCAGTATTGCAGTAATATTTTTATACTTTCTCAGTCCAAATTGGAAAGGAGTGTATAACATTTTTTTTTTAACGTTGGGAAATGCATTTACGCACGAAGTGTGGGACTCACCGGCGAAGCCAGTACTACCCACTAAAACCCAACAAAGCCTTCCCCCGTCTTAATGGGGCGTCGCAGGATCGCTTACGCATTCAACTACGACGCCCCGACGGCAGGTCTGCCGAAGCAGACCTCAACAACCACGGGGTTGCTCCAATGTCCACTCTGCTATCAGAGAAGTACCAGGAGCAACCCGCATGGTACACCGCCCTCCACAGAGGGCCACCTCCCACCGCCCACCGAAGTGGGCCACCTCCCTGTGCGTTTCTTGGCTTCGGGCCCGGCTGGATTGCCGGGCACTACTGAGCCCCCCCACCACGACAAGGTGAACGCACGTTGGGGGGGAGTGTATAACATACTTAAATCAAATCTATCCCTCGGGAACCGTAAAGTAGCCTATGTATTATTCCAAACTATAATCTATCTCTGTGCTAAATTTTATTCAGATCCGTTCAGCCGTTCTGGCGTAATTGAGTAACAAACATCCAAACATACGCACAAACTTTCAGATTTATAATATTAAAATAATAATAAGGATTTATATAGATTCAGGTTTGGAGTATACACAGGTGGTTTTATTATAATACAGTTCGTTTATAATTGAAAACTAGACATTTTAACAATTGCCCGTTATTTTATTTAATGTGGAAACTTTGTTGGTTGCACTGCCACAAACCTAACTTTCAAGCAATTCAAGTGGCGAATACAACGTGTTAGAGTGTTCTATTTGTTTAACTCATGGCTGTTTATTTAACAAACGAGGTTTTACGTCACGCTAGTGTTCTCTTTGTAAATATTCATAATATGTACATTAAATATTTTTTGGAAAATCTTATTGAAATATTAATTATTATCGATACAAAGGCTCAGTTAGAATTTTTTTATATGTATAGGTTTACCTGTTAATAGTTTTGAAATATTGCTTTCGTTATTTATCTTGTTGTCATAAAGTTTTCCAACATCGAACAAATCGTGCTGTTACACATAAATATATACCGTTTAAGTTTAAAAATCACTAAGAAATACTTTTATAAAACGAAAGTCCTTACACGAATCCAGCTCAACAACAGGAAGCTCATATTTGCAAAGTTAACAATTTCAAACAAAGTGAAAACGTCGAATAGTAACAGCGGATCCATATTGGCGCCACACTTGGAAAATACGCTTATTCTATCACTTGATAGAAAGTCAAAATGATACTTTTAACGATAAAAATTACAATAATATATGTATATAATAAGTTTATTTTTTTAACGTATTATTGTAAAATAAAAATTTAAAAAAAAAAACCGACATCCAAGCACTAAAATGTAAGAAATAACTAAACGGGAGTTTCTGTTAGAATAGATACTTAATCAGATATTTTCAAAGTCGGTGTCAGCACATTCGCACAGAAATGCGAGACCCGGGATTTGAACCCGCTTCCCTGCATATCCCAAGCGAGCGCATTACTACTGGGCTACCAGTGCCTATCTATAGAAAACACATATCGGTAGCTTATGTTAACCTTCACCTATGAAGGTTATTCATCTTCTATTCATCTTTCATTTTGTAATTAGTTCGAACAACGACAAATATCATCAATAGATAAAATACAAATGTGTCTAAAATAACGTAATAATATGTATTCAGCCCCTTTTTTTAACGTCCCACTGCTGGGCACCGGCCTCCCTGCAATACGAGGGGGATCAAGCTGTAGCCCACCACGCTGGCCAAGTGCGGTTGGCGGACTTCATATGTCTTTCGAAAATTTCCTAAGTTTTCTTAAACATGCAGGTTTCCTCACGATGTGTTTTTTCACCGTAAGGCAAGTGGTAATCATGTTAGAAATTATTCGTACTTGAAAGTATCAGAGGTACGAGACCCGGGATTTGAACCCGCTTCACTCGGTTTCCCAAACGAGCGCGTTACAACTGGACTACCACTGTCTATTATAATATATCTATGCTACATTACAATATTCGTAGAAAGCTTCACGTCAGAAAGGTAAACAAATTATGCAAAGCGGCTACAGTGAGCGATAAAATAACAACCTGCTAAATGTTTCAATAGCACTTTAGTGTAAATATGAAAATTAATACACGAAGCCATTTTAAGCTTAATGTCACATCTATTAATAATTTAGCCTTTAGGAATCTTTACAATAATAACTGCATTTATCCGACTATATAGGAAGACTAGCATTGTTCAGCGGCTCCACTCGCGTTCAGATGACCAAAAACCAAATTCTTAGGTTTTACACTTTAGTATACTCTTACATTGCAGTTTTTGTATTTTTTCTAAGAAATGAGATATTTTACCGCGGTAAAAAGTATCCTATATGTTGACCCGGATAACCAGCTATAACCATACCAAATTTCATCAAAATCCCTACAGTGGTTTTTCTGTGATGCGGTAACATTCCGACAGACATACAGACAGACAAAAATTCTAAAAACAATAGATTCGGACTCTGTATCGATAATAATGTTTATTTCAATAAGAATTTCCAAAAAATATTTAATGTACAGATTCAGCTTGGTTACAATTTTATTATATGTATAGATTTTCATAGAACTAAACATGAAGCCAAACAATGTGTTTTAAAATAGTATACAAATGACAACTTGTATACTGAGTATATACATATTTTATTACAAAAATTGTAAATTTACTTTACTAATACATATAAACCCTTATTCTTTAAATAAAGGGGACAATATTTTAAGATATGAATATTTAATAGGTAAATATGTATTTTACGTATCGAAATATATTAGATCTGCTTTGCATCGGCTGGCACCGACTTCGAAAATATCTGATTAGGTATCTATTCTAAATGAAAACCTCCGTTTAGTTATTTTTTACATTTTAGTGCCTAGAAGTCGGTTTTTATTTTTTGTTAAAAAGTTTTTATATTCGTACACTTATAAAATATTTTTCTTGTAAAATTATATTCTTAGAACGATTATAAGTATGCCTAAGGACTGTCTACTTTATATAATTTGACAACTCATAAAAAGCAGAACAAACAAGATTTATATGATCTCTAAAGGGAATACTAAATTATTTACAGTACAAATTTAAGGTTATTTCTTATCAAAACGATGTGAATTATATCTTTTATTCATAAATTGTGTAACGCTTTCAATAGAATTAAAAATACACTTATTTTAGTTCAGTAAAAAAAAAGCCCAACACAAAAATCGAAACTAAGACCTACGAACAGCATCATTAGGCCATCATTATAATTATTTTACAACAGCACTCCAAACTGTAAAATATAGATGTACAGACAAACAGACCAATATTTATATATAACGATAAAAGGCAAACGGGATTCACTGAAAGATCAATATCCTATCAACGCATGTGTTAGCAGCTAACGAAGTGATTTATGTGTTTCATTACATTTAAGCATTACTGTTCAAATGCCGCGCCAAATTAGATGTCTTCAAGAGTATTATATAGAAATATTGATGGACTTAATATAGTAGATGTTTATTATGGTAAAGAAGATTCCGCTTAATATTTTTTACGGAATGCAGAATATAATATACTAAATATTTTGTCTTTTCATTGTTATAGACTCAGAGAATTTTGTATGCATTGCTTGCCTGCATACATTAATCTGGAAATCGTTAATTTTTTAGGGATATTTCATATTTGTTTGGAAAAATTTGTTTATAATGTATGAATTTGTTAATCTGTAATTAATATTATTGTGTAGAATTATAATTTTAACTAAGTTATAATTGAACTAAACCACTGGTTAAATTTATTTTATAATATATTATTATTATAAACGATGTTGTTAATTTAGAATTAAAATGTACGTAGAATTGTACATAATATGAAAACATTACTTTTATACGTACTCATAAACTACTTTACTAGCTTTAATTATCAGATTTTCGAAATAAGTTAGGTTATTACTGATAAATTCCTAGCAAAATTGATAACGAAATGATGAATTATACTTAAAGAAACCCGCATATAAAGAATAAAATCACGGTATATTCTAACAAATATTCCGCACAGATTCGGTGCCGGAACCAACTGGACAAGACAAATAACCTATCGCAACCATTAATCCTTCTAATCTTGACAGAAAACCTCCGGACCGCATGAGGCAATGCGAACACGTTTATCAAAACTGAATACATCTCGAAATGTGTGGGTAGCAAATAAGTCTGTCGTAAATTGCAAAGAGGATTGCTATTTATGATAACGCATTGAATTCCTTTAAGTTATAAGTTTAGGTTAAAATATTTTTGTACTACTAAATAATATAATACTTCTCATATTTGTCTCTAAGCAAGAGCTGAAAAAAATTATTATTATTATTGAAACGTTTATCTAAACAGTTGTATATTTTGTAATATAATACAGCTAATAAAAGAAGAATAATATTGCAAGAATACTCATTAAAAATGGATGATTAAATTAAACTATATCTTTTTTAATAACACTTCAAATATTTTAATCTATCTTCTATTGTTCCAGGTATACGGCCGGTGTAAAGACAAATCCGAAATGAGATGAGTATGCGCGTGTCGTGGGCCAGGTGGTATTGGATAGTTATCTTCACAACGTGCACCGCGAGGACGGCCAGTGACTGGCTCGACTGCGCCCACATCGCGACCTGCCGCTGCAAGTGGTCCTCGGGGAAGAAAACTGCCATGTGTGCCTCTAGTGACCTACGCCGCCCACCTGCTCTCTCATCTGACATACAAGTCTTAGACCTCCACGACAACCCGCTAAGAAACCTTCCACAAGAAGTGTTTTACAACATCGGCCTTCTTAATTTACAACGGCTAAATTTACGAGCCACGAAACTTAGATCTATCCATGCAGATGCTTTTCTAGAGTTGAAAATTTTAATAGAAGTCGATTTAGCTGATAATGATCTAGCTATCCTTCCAAGGGATATATTCAGAGGCAACGAAAGATTACGACACGTAGTATTAAGTAATAATCCATTGACGATACTTGTAGCGGACCAGTTTCCACCTCTCCCACATCTACGAATTTTATCATTAGATGGCTGCAGATTAAGGACAATACAAACAAACGCCTTGCGAAATTTGAAATCTCTAGAGACAATAGACTTACGAAGAAATCAACTTACATTCCTACGTTTGATTACTTTTGCCCTCCCTGCTTTAAAAACAATGCAATTGTCGGGTAATCCATGGCGATGTGACTGCCGTTTGCGTGAGTTCAAAGATTGGTTTTTGGAGAGCAAATTGGGTACAGAGGAATTAGTTTGTGTAGAACCATCCCCACAATCAGGAAATAAATGGCGAAATATTCCTAGCGAAACTATGGTATGCCCCCCTGAAGTAAGATCAAGCACATTGATTGTGAGGGCAGAGGTCGGTTTACCTGCAACATTTGGTTGTTGGGTACATGGAGTTCCTAAGCCTAATGTAACATGGATGCTAGATGGTATCGAAATACATAACAGTACAGTTGACTGTGACATGGAAGAAACAGATACAGTTATTGAAGATGATAATTCAGACGAAAGAGTACCCGGCAGTGTAAGATGGGTTAATATAACGTTATTAAATGTCACTTCGAGTGCAGCTGGTGAGTGGACATGTGTAGGGAAAAGTATGGCAGGAGAAGCTAGAGCTGTTATAAGTCTCGTTTTACCAAGATCTCAAACAGCGACTGCACGAACGGCTCCAGGCATATCAGAATTGCTAGGGGTCGTTTTTGGAGCATTAGGCGTGCTAGCTGGTTTGGGTTTTATCGCTGCAGTAGCATGTTGGCATTTAAGGAGAAGAACAGTGCCACCAAGTCGTAGTTTTACTGATCAAGAGAAACGTCTGATCGACGCTTCTGTAGTTGTAAGTTGCGATCGTTCTATCGCTGATATGGCATCGCCTTGTAACTTTGAATTGACTGAGCGATCTTTATCTATCGATGAAACTCCTAGAGGATGTGGTTTTGACCCGGTTCATATAACTATAGAAGGTACACCTGGAGTATTTCCACCTCCTCCTGCAGAGTTTGCAGTGCCAGTTCCTTATGGAAATATTTTCATATCTGTCCAAGTTGCTGGTAGAGGAGAACCTGGCAAATATCCTGATCTACTAAGCAGTGGTGCAACGCTACCTCGCAGGAGTAGAACGTGCTGTAATGCTTCCGTGTATGATAACATGGGCCCCAGAGTAACAGCAACGGGAAGTTCAACGTGGTCATTGCCTGGTGCAAGTTTAGAAAACATGGAATCCTCTGAAACACCAGTGCTAACATTACCGCCTCCACCGGCTGACTTTGTCTCCCTTTAGCCAAGGCCATTGGTACTAGACGCCTCCAGCTTAAGGTGACTTGGTACCTAAAACATTTTAAGTCAATTAGACTATTTCCCAATTTTATTGTAATTACTATAAAATAATTTTAACGTGATTAATTTAAATGAAACTTGTAAATATTGTGTGTGAGAGATGTGAGACATCTTGTGAGATTTAAATACGTAAGGTTGTTATCAATATTAAAAACTGTATGATAGATTTTATGTGGATAGGTTATTCGCATGGGATGTTGATATGTGAAGCATTTAGTCTCTACCTATTTGTTTATTAGATATTCCTTTTATTACTTCGCGTATGTGTCTTCCCGACTTTTGTAAATATTGGTTATTCATGTTTACAAACTTCCCAAACATAAGACTGACCTCTTTGTCTTATTTTCATCTCTCTTTGTAACTTTTAACTTACGAATGCGACTGTATAAAGCTATATATTTCAAATAGGCCAATAGCTTCTAAAAGTTTTCTTTGAAAGCAAATAATGTAAAAATAAACAGATCACATTATAACAATTTATATTGTTTTATTGAATCCTTTAGAAGTAAGTTTTCAATTTGATTCTTTGTTTCAGGCTTAAATGAGTTGTTTCAATTCAAGAAGTCTGACAACAAACCTAAAGATTTATAAGTAAAAAAAGTAAATTACTAAAGATGGAAAATTTTAGGTTTTATTTATATACTTATCTAATTTATGAGATTTTGTACCTCAAAATAATAAACACTTAGCTCTTCAAATCATCTACGGTAGTGACAGAAAAATAAATATGATATATCATATGTATACATTCAAAAGTAATACAGTAATGTATACATTCAAAAGAAAGTTTGACACAACACCACTTAAGAATAAGTGGAAATTACTAGTAAAAGACTTATACACCTTCTTATTGTCAATGCAAAATGTTTTATAGACATTTCATTATGAATCTTATGCAATGAAATAGAATCATATATTTGCAGGATTAGATCCTATTTACTCTAATGTTAGTAGGATTAGGGATGTAAATGAGAATAGAAATATACTCGCTTTTAAATACATTAGCATATACTCACAACTTTTCTTTCGTTTTGATCTCACTTTACACTTACACTTCACACTTTGCGAAACACAACATTAATTATGCACTACACCTTCACTACACAAATACACTGTTTAATTTAAATAATCACTTAACAGCACTTCAACTTTGAGTTGGCACTAGTCTCTTTGGCGTTCAGTGCGAGACTACCCCCTTGACCGAATCAACCCTTAAATAGGTTAAGCAGGTTTTATATTGACAAGTACTATCTATTAAGTAGTAGCGTGTAGTCAATACAATATCTTAATTATCTTACAATAATAATATGAGTAACTAAATATTATTAAAAATAACAATGTTGATGACACACATACTAATATTATAAATGCGAAAGTGTGTTTCTTTGTTTGTTTGTCTTTCTTTCACGTCGAGACGTAGTGATGGATTGACGTGATTTTTTGTGTGAAGATAGTTAGAGAGTGACATAGATCACTTTTTACCGCGGGAGATAATCTCATTCCCACGGGAAAACACGTTATTATACTACCCAAAAATTATTTAAGATCAGAATTACTTGAAATTTGGTATTAATGCTCTTCAACACAGTTAAATAGTATATAGTATAGTAAAACGTATTTTAGCATTTTTCGATCTCATCCCATATGGGGTAAAATAGGGGATGAAAGTTTGTATGAAACCTACTTTTCTAGAGTTTTTTTGTAGTTTTAGCGCAAGCGAAGCCGTGGGTTCTGCTAGTATATAATATAATACTTATTTTGATACTCTTGTGCCAGATTGACGAAGGAAGATCAATAGTGTGAAACAATAAAGTATATGACAAACTATCGTGGTCTCTAAACTAATGGACCCTTATAACACCACCACAAATATTTTATATAAACACCAGCTTAAATATTTTAAATCATTGTATTTTCATCTTAACTACACATAAAAAGTACTAAATTGACGCGATAATTAGAAATTGCTTAAAAATGACTTCTTAAATTATTATAATACCTAATCAGTAATGAAAAACGTATTAAAACACTTAGGAATGGTATGTTACATATTACCTAAAATAGTTCTATGTTGCACTAAAAAATTAGTAATTATCTTCTGTTCTCTTTAATGTTAATTTTCCTCTCATTTCTATAGCTTAACTAGCATCTTTACGAGCAATACAAATTACTGATGCTGGAAACGAATGCGGATATCGAAGTAAAGGAACACCCGTCTATTGCGCCAAAGAGTCTACCAATTAAGCACGTAGCAGTATTTCATTTTAAATGCATTTGTAGCTTTTAACTGCCAAAACAATTTGCCATAAACGGTCTCGTAATCTTTGACCTACTTTACGAGATTTACAAATTTTACATATTAATTATCCCTTCTCGCAAGCGAATTCAATGAGTTGATGGGAAGTTTCATAGCAATAATTCATTTTCTTTTGTGTTTCCAATTTGAAAATTGTGTTATATTTATGGAATTTATTGAACAAAAATATATACTTGGCTTGGATATTCATGTATACTTACTTATATTACTTTATACAATATTATTACGTTTAAGGTTATTTAGAGGATCTGCTTGGATATTTATTTATTTCATATTAATTGACACTATAATTGTCTGAACAGTGAACAATAGTTATACTGAAAAACATTAGTATATTAAATACAAATTTGCCTGTATGTAAGAATCGAACACGCGAATTCTATTATAATTAGAAAGGCATATCACGCTACACTAAGTCAGACCATTGACTGTGATGTAATATCTAAAATTTTAAATTTTACAGCAAGTACTTTAGTTTTAATTTACACGGACTATTTATGACATCCCCGACACAGCTGCATTGACCCACTCTGCATAAATCTGAGTAAATGAATAAAATTTATCACTTCATTAATTATTATTAAACTTTAAATGAAACATGGAGTTTGAGATGGCTTCAATTAACAAAATACCAGTTTTTACTCCCATTTATTTATTTTAAAATTAAATGATGTATGTGTTTGTAGTATTTAGGCGTTATTGTATTATTCGCGTTTGCGTTTTTTTTTCAGAAAAGAAACCTATATAAATAAACTTAAAGGAGCAATACCTTATCTAATTACAAAATTTGATCCAAATCATTAGAGCCGTTTCGAGAGAAATAAGAAACAAATTTATAAAAATATATACAAGAATTGCTCATTTAATATTATAAGATAAGATTACAAAACATAATACATAATATATGTTTATTTTTTATTTATATTTTGCTAGGCTTTTCATCAAAGTTGATATACATTAAAAAAAATGACTGCATTTATTATTTACATAATTATAAACTGATATAAAATATTGATTGGTTTCATTTGAATTGCTAATCAGATTAGCATTAAACTTGCACTCTCAACTCTATTTTTGCTTCTATGCAAAGTCTACTTATTCTCGATAGACTTCAAGAAGGAAGAGGGCGTAACTTCACGTGAAAAAGAACAGTGCCAACTTATACTCAGTTTTATGTACTTTCTTGCTTTTTACCCTAAACTTCTACATATAATTAGGTTTAGGGAAAACAAAAGCGACATTATTGAATTGTTCTATTCATACAAATATAATTTTTACTCAACTGTTTTATCTGATGCTAACTAAAAGAGAAATGAATAAAGTAAATATGTAGTGATAATAAAAAAACCTGCAAATTATCAAGATATTATAAATTATCATGATGTAAAACATGGTAAATATCTCCTTTTAATTCATAATAATATACATATATCATAAAAATTACAAAACTAGCTCAATAAGTCCAGCAATATCCTACATAAATAACAAGCTTTTGTTCCTAGATCGAAAATGAAAGAACTAACAAGAGGCTACTTGTTAGATAGGTATTTTTAATGATCAGTCAGTTCATGAGGAGTGGATGCTTACGAGTGCTCGATACTTCAGTAACGTTCCATTAATTCAGTATAAGTATTTTTCGCCTCTAATTCCACTATTATTATCTCTCAACTTTCAATTCGTATTAAATTTCTATTCTAAGTCTTCTTTTAAGTTAAAGCTTGATCAGATCAGATCCTCGCCCAAAGTGTTGAGAAATAATGTAGGAATGGAACTACTAAAATGATTCTTTTATTATTTTTACTTCTTCAAAGTGCTATGAACCTTTTGATTGTCATGTTTTAGAATAACAAGTACATTAATAAAATAGATTTAGAGTCCAAACACACTAGGTCACCGTAACTCCGGCTAAAAGAAGAAGCCCATCATCACAAGTTTTAATTCCACATCAAATATTGGCAACAACTAGTTAAAATATGTTACAACCTTCGCTTTATCTAAGGGTAAAAGGTTAAATCTTTAGAAGGTAGCATCATAAAGACCGATAAATGTCAACATACTAACAAGACTTTCTGAAAATGGTTCAAGGTGTAATTTTATGGGCGTTGAAAAACAAAATAGCTGGGAAAGTAATAAAAGACGCAATTGGGTCAGCCCTTAAAGCAATTTTGTGGTACATCCCTGCTATGTTATTAAAATCGCTTTAATAGCACATGTAGCTGTTGCGTAATATCTTGAAAGTATAACATTATGTATGTAGGTATGTGGAGTGTTTATTTCCGTACGACGTAACTGCCAAAATTTCGTATTCAATTACACGTATGAATCTTTACTGTGTCGGCATCTACCACCAATCACACCAATCACAACTCGTCGCCTCAGGGCTTATTTGTTCAAATTACTTATTTACCGAAAGAGTTTTTAATACAGAATTATTGATTTTTAAATGTCAATTGGTAAAAAAACACATTTTTCTTTAAAAAGCCGAAACGATGTATTTCATCCATATATTGGCTTTGTTTTTAAAATAGAGGGGGAAAAAATCTACTATAATTATAACTACAACAAGTATAGTTCGTTTGTATAAATAAGCACTAATGCCACAAAATGGTTAAACAAATTATGAT